GCTAAAATTAAAGAAAACCCCACAAAAGTCTTAAATATACCATTTTACGTAAAGCTGAGACACGCGCTACTGACAATTCCTAAGACAGCAAGTATACTGCGGGATTTAACTCAAACCATATGAAGAACAAGGTGGAGGAAAAGCTTAAGACGCGTTATCTGTAACTCCCGTTTGTATCAGAAATCACGATTTTAACTGGCATCCTGGAGCTATAGAAACAGTCAATATCCCGAGAGCATTGAACGACATGAAATTTCTACGTGGCAGAGTGCACCAATTCCTGCTCTCTTTTGCATTAACAGTTCAAAAATGGGAGGATTACGTCAGATACCTACCAAAATTTGTCATGGATTATGTTGTTGCAAGTATTACATTATATTTATATATATGGTTTTCGATGTATAACTGTTTCGAACCCTGCTCTTTGTGGTTGACTTTTAGAAGGCTCGGTTCGTGCGATTTCTGGGCGTGCGAACCTCTGTTTGAAGTTCGGAGATTGACTTAAAGCTTTTTGTGCCTTTCAGATGCTTGCCGACTGGCACTTCAAAGTTACAAGTGGCTTTTGAGGGTAAAATTCAGGAGAATGATAAGTTGACTAAGTGGACATGGCAACTGAACTAGAAGGCGCCCGCCGGGAACTGGGAGTTTGATCGCACCTTGGTTTCTTTACAACCCCAGGCTACTTTAACTTATGAGATAAACCAAATCTGATAAAATAAGCTGACCATCTAAGGAGGATTTCCCAAGTAACCAACCCTCGGATGATTTCCAGGTATACTGAATTAGTAGGACGGATTTTGCCAAAGTTGGATAATTCATTTGACCAAGTTGCAAAACACTCGGTGGCCTTGACAGTGTTCGGTGACTAGGTTGGCTAGGTTTTTGGTTGCACTAAAGCGTCACCTTAATGGCGTAGCAGGACATGGTCAGTATAATTATATTGAGCCAAAGTTCTTAAGAATTCACGCGTGCACCGCCGGTATAATTGGTCGTTGATTAATATTATGCGGCTCTCCAGATGAAGCAGATAGATTTCCGTTGATATATTCATATCAAAATTCTGGCTGACCGAATAAATTCTCCACCAATTTCATTGATTCCGAATAAGACATACATTCGTAAAGAGATGCACTTGTGGCATGAACTAATGCCTCGCAGAATACTTGCTGTCTCACGGATTGTCAGAAGCGCGTGTTTAAGGTTTGCGTAAAACGGTATATTTAAGCATTTTGTGGAGTTTTCTTTAATTTTACCTGTCTGCTAGCCGGTTTGCTTGGAATGCAGAACATGCGTAGTGCGATATAAAGCCTGCAGGTGCAGTTCCGTCTACTTCACACTCTGCCGTCAAATAGTCTTGCCTCCGGCAAATCCATAAGACGTGCTGTGTTTTGTGTCAAAAGTAACCAGCCTCTAAGAAGCAAGATGATGCATCTATCCTGCGAAGGGTATTCCGAAAGAAAACCTGGACGGGACAATACGCCAACATTCACAGTTTTGTCCTCCTAAATATAAAATGAAATCTATTCCAGGAATTAGCAGCTACAGTACGACAGATCTGCCCTCCTAAAACTGTTGAAGCAGAACTACATCAGCCGCAGCACACACTTATTGAAAATGAATACCCGGAGATGTTCATTCTTAGGAATATTGGCAAGTGCGCCAAAAAGCTCGATACCTTAACCGCAGGAAAGAAAGACTCGTTCATTAGACTGGTTTTCTTAGGCGATGCAACAGGCGAGCTTGTCAAACGACGCCTGAAGACCGCAATCGCAAGCGTATTCCCCGTGGCGAACTTACGGTTGTTCTTCACGAACTC